AGTCCTAGCGGGAATCTTCATTACTCGCGATAAGATTTTTTGCTTCCTAATGGGGTTTCGAAGAAATCTGGCTTAAAAAGCATTAACAGCCTTCTTAGTTCTAACAGCACGCAGCCGCTCCGATCTTTTCTGGTCTTCGATAGACGAAGTCTTGTTGTATCTATTGACAGTACGATATACGAACATACGGCTGACACCAAGCTTTTGAAGTGTCTGAAATATGACCGACGGCTCCATACCCACTTTGTGCAAGGCAATCACTATAATCCTATTTTCTTTAACACCCCATTCCATATTGTAATCACTTTAATTTCAAAAAGGCGAATGTTTGTGAGTGTGTAAGTGTGTATGTTCGTTACTTCTACACATCTAAACGAATTGAGCGATTTTAATAAAATTTGGTATGGAGTTAGCTGACACTCTGGATTAACACATAGGCTACTTTTTACTGTGGGAAAATATCTCTAATAAACCGCGGGTATCACCGCGGGGCACAGCTAGTTTGATATACGTGTTCCAAATTCAAAATAATTAAAAGTCGATATATATATACATATATATAGCAAAAGTTATTAAAGTACACGTAAGAAATTTAAAAAATTAACCTTGTACTGAGATAAAAAAATTAGTTATTAATTTTGTGCCATCATTTTCTTTTTAGAAAACATCGTACCGCTCAATTTGTGTCATGCCATCTCCAGTAACGAAATTATCTGGACGTCCATTGATTTCCTAAAGCTTTACAGTAAAACAACGTAGCATGTTGACCGGATAGGAAATTAGTTTTATTTTCTCATTTTGCTTCGGAAGTTTGATGATAATAATATAAGATTTTTAATTTCTAGAATTTTATATTTAGAATGTAGTAGCAGACAAAACAATAATAAAACGATGTATGTGTACTTTTTACTCACTGATAAAAAAATCCAAGAATTAATGACATTAATAAGGACCTCTGTCAAACCCAGGACTATAGGGGAATGTATTTTAAAAATAAAACACACATAAGCTTGAACTATGGAAACTAAAGAACATACTTTGTTTTTTTAAAAGATTTGAGTGCGTTTGACCTCAATCGAAGCTGATGTTAAGCAACGATGTGGTCTAAGCTGGAGCACGCAAACTCAAATAATGCCAGTCTTGCCTTGAAATATAAAAAGTTTTGGGGAATGCAGACGCAGGAAGGGAGTTCATACCTATCCTATATCAGTATGTACAGTACCCTTAGCACGAACCATTATCTGACTGCGATCAAAGTATCCTACTTTTGGATAACCGACCTCCTTGTATATTATAAATACGAATTAGTTTTTGATAGTTTTTACTTTTGGTTTCTGACTTGTGAGTGACTTTGCCTTGTAAATACGTTCATATAGGTACATTGTTTACCTCAAATGTGAATTTTATTTATTTTTCGTCAATCCCTAATCACATATAAATCTTTCGTACGGCTGAGATGATGATGATGATGATGATGATGATGAATCCCTGATCTCCCTCACGTCCGCAATACTACTAATATGATAAATTTGAAAGTTTATATATTTATTACTCAATCATGACTACGAAAATCTATTGAACTGATTTGAATGAAATATGGTACGCATATAGTTTATACCGCGGATTGACGAAACCTGGATTGAGATAAAGGATACTTTTTATCCTGGAAAAATGAAAGGTTCCTGTGGTATTCTATGAAAAACTAATTTAAAGCGGACGAAGTCGCTAAGGGAGCCCCTAGTAAAGTATATTTATTTAATGGTAAGCGCCGATATATATATAGGGGAAACATGCAAGTGTATACTTGACTCACACTACAAACAAAACCAACATGACAATATTTTTGGTATTTAAACTGTTTTTTTATCTAGTGTATTGAAAAATTGTATCTATATCTTTATTTTTTCCGATGTCCATTTCTCAATTGTTAAAGCTACTTGCTCAAATTTAACTAGTATATTTTTTAAGTAAATAATTTCTTACTTACCTGGAACAACACAACAACATATTTTAACCGCATAATTTACTCAGAACAAAGTATGGTAAACCTAACCACCGATCCATTCTTTGCGGCTGAATTGCAGCACCAAATCGAGTAGGCCAACGTCGGCAGGTCAGACGCAGCCTTTGTCGTGTCATCAGCGTTCAAATTGGCAGTTTAGTTTACCGGCTAGCTGTGGCTGCGGGCGACAAAACTGGGCGCGGTTGGCGGAGCTCGTTAGAACCCTCGTACAGGCGCCGTAACGAAGGAATAAAAAAATGACCTTTGCTGTAGGTATCTTAGTAAAAATAATGACTGGTAGCAAACGCAAACAACTTTTCATTTTTGTAGTTAAAGTAGCCAATAAATTATGGAAGTATTATTATGTCCTCGAGGTTATAATATGAAGCTAACATCTCAAAATCTCCGTTGATGCTTAAACACTGAGTCAGTTGAACAAAACTGTGACTTGCCTGCCAAAACAGTTTTGAATAAAATGATGTTCAATACTTGTAAAGGTATTTGACATTGTGGGTTACCTGCAATATGAAGAAATGGCGCTGCCTTGCAGCTTAAGAAAGGCTAGAAAGAATACGACACGGCCATCAGGGCCGCGGTAGCATAATGGTCAGTGCATTCGCCCGGATAGCGAAGGGTGCGGGTTCGAGTCCAGTCTGCTGCCTGGTCGGAGTACAAGTTTTTCTAGTAATATTTTCTTTCGATTTAAACATCGTGCAGTTACATGATTAAAAAATTATAAAATGATGTTCACTCTTAGTGTTATCATAAAAAGCACACATGAAAATTTTAAACAAGCCGAAGTTTTGCCAGCAAAAAGAGGTTTTACGCAACCGCTACGCTAGTGCTAGTTTTTTTAAACACAGTAATTTTTTTCAAACCGTTTTTGAAATCCATATTTAATTTTAGCGTACGTTTCATGCATAACAAACGCGGCTAAACCAGCTCCTATTTTCCAACGTACAAGTTAATACACATTGACACTATCGCCCGTTATTCTGACACGTAATCCGTTTACGCCCTGTTAATTGAATTGTAGCAGTGAACCGTACATTCGAATAGTGAACTGGATACTCTAAAATGTTTGTGACATTGCGTAATGTGTGTTAACTATGTTTGGGAGGAATTCAAATTGAATTAAAAGGGGCCATAGACGGACTACTCGAGCTATAAGCCAGTGATCAAAATACACGGACTACTCGAGCAGTCAGTGTCAACAGCTTGAAGCTGCCATTTCACGGAGCTGTCAATCTCCTGAGAAGTTGTCGCAACTGCTCGAGCGGTCCGTGTATGTGTGTACATAGAAGACTGTAATTCACTATGCAGTTGTAGCTTTTTTTTTTTTTTTTTTTTGGTTTGCAAAACCGAAATGTGAAAATGACAAAATAATTACATACAGTGTATCATAACAGTATCACAAATCTTATAAATGCAAACACAGCATGCACTTTATAATTAATGTTAGAATTCTTTATAATATTTTATGTACACAATACTGCCCTTACATCTACATTTGCAACAATTTTCTTAGCTTTTTTTTCATTACCGCAATAGAGTCGCCAAAAATGTCAACACTATGTCTAACTGCATTACAAGCAGACAACATCCGATAGATTGGCGAATGCTGACCAAGATTTGTCCGGCATGAAGGAAGTTGGAAAGTTTTTCTATTTTGCAAGCGGCTGTATATAATATATAATATTACACGTAGGACAGGTGGCCAGTCCACACTTGTCTGTGCCACCCGCTCGCGCTTTCTCAATAAATTGCACGCACGATGGAGTTATTCCCGAAAAGCGGGATTGAGCCTGTCCCGCGCGGGACATTTAATTTTGATTTAAAAATCGGGACGTCCCGCCAAAATCGGGACGTCTGGCAACGCTGTCGCGGACCCAGTACGGATAGGTGGGTGCTTAAGCTTATGATTTCACTATCGACCGCCCACGACTTCGTTCGCGTTAACTTTAGTTTTTTGAGAAAGCCATAGCAATATAGAAGTTTATCGGGACAAAAGGTATCCTATGTCTCAATCCAGGTCATATACTATATGGGTACCAAATTTCATCCAAATCCATTTAGTAGTTTTTGCGTGATTGTGTAAAAAAACACAAACAACTTACAGACTTACACATTTATGACATTAGTAGTATACGCAGTCAAATCAAATTAGTATGTTTTTCAAAAGCGGCTATGGCGATTTTGCTCAATTCACAAAATAGCGGCCGAATGCGCTAATCACTGCTATCGAGTTCTTCTTAGCAATGCTATGGAAAAACATATTTTATTTAATGGTGTCATCAGCCTTGTCTGAAGTTCATTCGATTTCATAACTTAGATGGAAAAATGTAAGAAAAGTTTAATTTTTTCATTATAGAAGGTCGTCCCACTGTTCCCTATGGTTGCACCCTCTGTTTCTTTCGTAACGAGATGTAATGTTTACAGAGATGATTTATTTAATATACTCGTATTTCATTATTTTATGTTTTCTGCTGAAATATATAGCTTAATGCCATGACTTAAAGTTTATATTAAAACTTTAGATATTCGGGAGGACACATAGAGTATAAGAACACATGTGAAAATAGGATCATCCGAACATAATTATTTAGAAAAAGCACGTTATTATTTTTGTTTTTTAATTTTTTCATAACCTTAACTAACTTATTTCTTATTGGATTGACTATGAAGACCTAATAATATTAATGTTTATAGTATGGTTTCCATATACTTAAGCAGAATATTATATAGACAAATGGTCGGCGAGCTTCGTGAGAATACTTACCGATACAAACAAAACATCACCGAAACAAATACATATCAAGATTATACAAAGTTTCACGGAGTTGGATTTTGGCTAGATTTCGATAGTCTATTCACTGTCAAGACAGGTCAAGCGATTATCGCGTAATAATAGTCAACACAGGCATTTCTTTTTTCGACTGTGACCATAGAGCAACATGGCGAACGCGATGACTGTGACACATAATTTGAACCAAATGATATTACATTGTTATACTTATTTAATGCTTAAGTCTTTGGACTTATTTATCTCTCTTAGAGCCCAGTATTTTTTCCAAACAGTTGCGATCATAAGATTAATTACTTTCGTCAAAAAAAAACACAATTTAAACATGTCTAGAAAAAGGAAAACATTCAACAGTTGCATATTACCTTGTCTAATCTATGGTTCCGAAACCTGGACCCTCACAAAAGCACAGAGAGAAAAACTTGTTGTAACAGGAGGTACACGCAAAAAGAAAAAGAGCAACGGAGAGGAGTATGACTGGTTATTAGCCTTAAAGAAAATAGGCACAATGATTTAAGATACACCTAAACTCACTGACATATCAGCAAAAATGGAGGAGGTCAGGGCATACTTTACGTGACAAGGTAGGAAAGTGTAGCTGGGAAGCTATAGAATAACTCTTGGGAAGCTACCCAAAAGACGGTAAACGAAATCAAGGAAGACATCACACAAGGTGAGACGACGCTTTAGTAATGACAGCTGGGTTATTAACAGCAAGATTGTTAAAAACAAAAATATTATTTAAATCTAAAGAAGAGTTTACTAGATAAAAATCAACGCGGACCAAGCAGCAGACGGGACTCGAACCCGCACCCTTCGCTATCCGGGCTGACCATTATGCTACCCTGACGGCCGCGTCGAAATGCGCGCAAGGCAGCGCCATCTCTTCGCATCGTAGGTAATCTACAATGTCAAATGAATACCTTTACAGGTATTTATTATTACATTTGAAAGAAGAGATAGCAATTATAGTTATGTTTTTTTTTAAAGCCAGATGTTTAAATCTAGCAGTTAAATGCTTTTGAATGCAGGTGCGAGTCCCGTCTGCTGCCTGGTTCGCGTGGAGTTTTTTCTTGAAAACTTTTCTTTAGATTTGAACATCTATCAGTTAAATACTTAAAAAAAACTTAATAATATTATTGTCAGGATTCAAGAACAAAGTGCCGTGTCATGTTCTTCTTGCAACGTAATTCAGAAGCAAATACTAAAGTTATAATAAGTTATATAATAATAGGCCACTCCAAACATCGCGCCAAGAAGGTACATAAAACATTAGCTATGGGACCAAGCTTAGCGAAATCCTATGTTCTTTGTTAGCATTTGCGTTTAGATACCGAAAAAATAAAAATGTAAAAAATGCAACGCGAAAGGTTAAAGCTATAAAAAGAGGAGCTCGATGGCGCAGGTGGTCAGCGCGTTCGGCTGCGATCGTTGAACCTAAGCAACTTTGGCATTGGTTTGTCATTGGATGGGTGACCAAAAATCTTCTATCTCGAGTTCCTCCGTGCTTCGGAAGGTACGTTAAGCCGTTGGTCCTGGATACATCTGCAGTAGTAAGCACCCGCCAATCCGCACTGGGTCCGCGTGGTGGGTCATAGCCCAATCTCTCTATTCTATCCATAGGGAAGGCCTGAGCCCCAGCAGTGGGCATGTTAATAGGCATAAGCCTATTACCTATCATTTTAAACTTTAAACTTTTCATCATCATCCTCATCAGAAGATGATGATGAAAAGTTTAAAGTGTATAAAGAGAAAATTCTAAAGTAAGTTGTACGCTTAAACTTATCACTAATGTTACAGCACAATATTTTTTATGTTCTATACCTACCACTGATAAATAATGATTTACATACTTCGGCTATAAGTAATTTTCCAGGAGGGTTGTACATTTTACGTTTACATAAAACAATTGGGGAAGGAATTAGAGAGCCTACTTAAATGACCATTATTTTGTTTTTTACTAATTGACGTGAAATATTGCGTCTTTGTATATGAGTGGTATTTTTTTTAATATATTATATTTCACGCCAAACCTTCAAATGCTTGAAATAAAACTGACAACACATAACATTCCTTGTGTTTCTAAATCAACCGACACTTCCATTACTAGTGTTCAGAGTAGGCCCTTAATCTTCAATAAGTAAATAAGGGTGGGGGGAAGTCGCGATCCGTCCGCGTCCGTCCGTCCACTTTAATCTTCGTCGCCGAAATTCACTCGGACGTTATCATTCTTTTTATACGGCGGATGTGTTTACCGTATGAACGAGGCTCGTTTGTTCAGGGTCGGCTCGCGTAAAATTGATTTATGTCATCTACTTGCATAACGTCCGACCTATCGAAGACTAACAGCTGATAACGCGAATATGGATGGAGAGTTTTCTACACCGGCCTTTTTGAACAAGCTCGTCATCAAACAATATATTATTCACATCAACTAATTATGATATCCGTGAAAAAACGATATTTTGAATCTCATGCCCATTAGTGACTTTCAGAAGTCTTTTGTGCGATAATGTAGTTAAGTTAATGTTTTAGGACACTAAAGCCCGTATTACAGAATGACAACTAAGTGTTACTTGAGTAGAGTTAGAAAGGGATGGCACTATGTGCTATATAGCGACATCCCTTTTCTAACTATGCTCAAGACTATATCAATCACTGAGAATCTTTCTATAATACGGGTCTAAGATCACCATTTGCTGTTGGAGAAATAGTAAATGAATTCAGCGAAATAAAAGGATCAGGATACGAAATATTAAAGAAACTGGAGGCGGAATACTCTACCGGCGAAACCAGCACGACAAACAATACTGGATCACATTTATATGAATAAAAATTACATTTCACATTTTCACACATTCGGTTTTAAAACTATAGAATCATCCATGTCTGATCATAAACAGTTATTAATGAAAATTGGGCAGCTGCCGCCACAATATAATGAATAAATATATTATAAAGCAATAGATTACGATAAGTTACTTAGCAGCAGCGCGAAAGCAGACAAAAACAGTACAAATGACTATTCTTATCTAGAGAACTTCATTACAAAACAAGTATATAATAATCAAAAGACAAGTTTAAATACCTCAACCCTCAAAAAATGGATCACATAATAAAAACATTATCAATGCAATTAACATACGGAACAACATTTTTCCACAGACTAAAATCAAGCCGAAAGACGAATATCTACAGAAAAAAATTAGGAGACAACACGACCACGTACTAACACTCTGATCAAGAAACATGAAGAAAAAGAAAACTAATATGTCGCCTTATTTAATAGTAGTAGGATATATCACTCAAAGAATATGGCAGACAGTATATAATGTAGCTTTTAATAAAATTAAGACCAGTGGTACTCCATCAAAGCTCATATCGAAGTCTTGGGGAACTGTAACAGGAGGTAAGGATATTTGTAATTTGTTCAATGACTTTATTTCAATTATTGACTAGCCAAAATCATTCCAAGCCGTCACCATTCGAAGACCGCGAATACTCTTATGTACGACACTAATTACACAAATACTATTATGTTAAACGAGTTTCAGCCGTGTACCGCAACCGAAATATCAAATATAATTGACAATATAGATAGCAATACGATCACTGGGCTGGATAGTATCAGTACGAAAGCAATTAAACGTCTGAAAAATGTAATCGCTGATAGATTAGTAAGCTGCATTAATGTGTGTAGCATGCGCTGCGTTTCCCGATTTACTAAACATCGCAAGGGTCAGCCCTTTTTACAAATCTGGCAGTAAATCTGACCCAACGGCCAGGCCAGTATCAGAACTTCACGTAATTTCATATTTTTTTGAGAGAGTTTTATAAGATCACTTGAATACATACATTACCGAGAAAAAGATACTAATAGATCAACAATACGGTTTCCGCCCTAAGTCTGAACTCTTAATGCTGTTCTTAACTTGATTACAATAGTTACAATTATTATCAATGTTAGTCTGTATAATGTATATTAAAGAAAATGTTTTGACACTGTAAGTCACAAAAAGTAACTCAAAAAATTTAATAATATAGGTATTACGGCTCATCATATGTTCTTGTCATATCTAGAAAATAGATTTCAAATAGTAAAATAGGTAATGGTAATAGTTACCTGTCTCACGTGGCCTATGGAATGCCGCAGGGCTCCGTAAGCGATCCATTGATGTTTTTAATTTATACAATTAATATTACCATATTGAACTTAACGGAAATATCACCTTATATGCGGACGATACAAGTCTTCTTTATTTCGGAAAATTTATACATAAAATAATAAATATTGCCCAAAAAGACATCGCTATATTTGAAGAATGGTTTAAATATGATTTATTAACAGAAAGATAAAAAAAGTGCCTGACTTTACTCCCCTTACCATAAACAACGAACAAATTCAACTCTCAAGTCGCGCAAAAGTACGTACCTTGGATTAAGGATAAACGATCAATTGACATGGAAATGGCACATACATAATATTAAAACAAAACTAAAGTCTTTACTCGAAATATTAAGCAAAACATAAATTGTTTTCCAAATAAAGTGCGTACAATCATTTAATTATAACTCCTTGGTAAAATCACATTTGGAATATTTAATTATCATATGGGGATCAGTCGCAGTTACCCATTTAAGTCCGCTGCAAAGACTACAGAATAAAATTATTAAAGTTTTATTTCGCTATCACTACTTATCCCCAACTAAATTAAATTACGCAAAAAAACTAAACTATTTAAACCAAAAAATTATACCTATTGTCACAAACGCTCTCGAAAAAAAAAACCACGAAAATACTAAAGGCAGACATCCCGACACGTAACAATATAAAAATATTAAGGAAACACAATGAATCAGCATCCGAAAAAAGAACATAAATTAATATCTAAAGATTTTGAAAGTAGCCGGACTGAGTTTCTTATGTAATTCTTTTCCATGGAAGAATGCCTTTTGGAAGCCTCGTAGTCATACCATCACATACAGACAGACTTTTTGACTATTAGACAGATCACAACTGACTGTTGAAGTTTGGAATCGGTCAAGTGGTTGAAATATAGAATTTTACCCCTGGAAATCACGTGTCCATGGAATTAACAGAACAAAAGTTTTATTTATTCTTCTAGAATTTCAAAACTTAAAGTTTTTGTTTTGAACGTCACACTAGTATATCTATATAGGAAGATACTTAAGAGGCGCCATACACGGACAGCTTATAGCAGTCGGGATGGATTGCAAACATAGGGGAGAAAATTTGCTAAATATCATGACTCAAATAGCAACGACAATTTCTTACAACCTTATGGACTCTGAAATCTTAAATTTTCATAGAGTAGCTAAACTAAACTCAGATTCGAAACGGGCACGTAATATTGTTGTGAGGATGGCAAGCCCGCGGTCCCGAGATCAATTCTTAGCGGCTGTTAAAAAGTATAACAAGAATCATTCAGATGAACGACTAAACTCCAGTCATCTTGGAATAGCGGGTGAGAAGCAACCAGTTTACATTATTGAGCACCTATCTCCTGATAACAAGAATTTACATGCCGCTGCTTGTCTAGCTGCTAAAGAAAAAAACTACAAATTTGTTTGGGTACGGAGCGGCAGAGTGTTTATGAGGAAGGACAGTGAATCGCCTCCAAAGTTAATCTCAAATATGGACTCGTTAAGTAAACTTTAATTTTCAGTACTTAGTAACGTTAATTTAGTTGTTTGTAAAAATGCTTAAACTTCCA